TGATTATTGCGACTGAAGTTCGCGCACCACCATCTGGTCCTTTTTGCCTCCCACTCCCACTAACGTAGACTGAGTAGTTGCCTTATCCATGTAGGTAGCGAACACATTTTCCACTTTCTCTTACAACCAGCAAGTGGTAGGGTCTACAGGATGATACTCGGTGGTAAGCCCCCGGTCGATTGGCTGTTGGGCTTTTACGCTTCGCCTCCGTAGGCTTTCTGGACACTGCAATAATGATGGACAGGGCACATCGCTTACACCACATGAGATGCCACGAGAGGGGATCGACCATGGTCTGAGCCATCTCACGAGGGGCAGAAAGTGGCATTTTGAACTTTTCTGTAGCAACTGTTCGTGGAGGCAGGGGCTTACATTACATCATTTGCAGATTCGAATCGAGTCTGTCACATACATTCACTGCAGCAAGCAAACGCCCGCGTGCTGAGAACAGCTGGTCGATGCGGTGGTTGCGAGGGATTACACGCCAGCAAAGTTGTCGCCCATCTTCTTTTATTGGCCTCACTCAGCTCAGTAACTCCGAGGGCAGCATGCCAAGCAAAGTAACAGGCAGCGATAGCAATATGCAGGTTGCCTTACATTCCCAAGCTAGTCTCACAGGCCCTGGGCGCCCCGCCGTTGTATCATTGGATGTGGTGAGTTGCGAAGTCGTCATTGCCCGCGCAGGTGCGCGGGAACTTCACAATTGTCGTATCCCACAAATGTGCGTTCCGAACGGCGCGCGTTGAGCCCGCGCAATTGCGCGCCCCCGAAAGCTCAACATCCTAGCTACAGATTCTAACAACACACCCGAAGTGCCTCCATGGAATGACTCGACCTGCCCATGTAGCGCTCATGTGGTTCTCTATCCGCGCAACAGCATTGGGGGTTTGGGGGTTTTTGGCATGATCTTCCCTTCCAAAGATGTGAGTAGCGCGCAAACTCGCGACTCTGTCAGTAGACATTTGCGCAGGAGATGGTGAAAAGATTGAACCTCAAGATGATATCCAGGGGGAGCTGATGCTCTTATAATTGCGCTGGCTTCTTCATAGACCATGACTGTATAACCGTAGAACCATCATTTCTAAGTAACCAAACGACGTTAAACTTCGTCCAAAGCAACCTGCACTCTAAAAGCCCGAGACCAACACAAACATACACACACCCTCAGCATGCCTTCTCATTCATCTTCCGCTCGCACAGGCGGCGCCTCGTGAGTAACAACAGCCCCATGATGCATGCCTGCCATGTTTCTAACACCCCTGTAGATCAGGCTCCGATAAGAAAGCTACAAGGACAGAGCGCTACAATAACTGGAGCGCCCAACCGCCCTCGATCCAAGAAAACTTGATGAACAAGTCGAAGAAGAAGAGCAGAAAGGATTCCATGGGAAAAACCATCGAAGACTTTGACAAGAGTTGGAAACGAGCGACGGGGAAATAGACCGGCCACGTCTTCAACGTCGTCCGTGGCTCAATGTACATACTTACTTTCGGCTGTACTTCTGGCGCTTGAATCCCCGCACGAGCAGTGTTGGTAGTGGTCACGATTTAGCAAACCAGCTGGACTGGATATCATAATACATAATAATGAGACGTATGACCAAACAATATGCAGTAATTTCAATCTCTTGCAATTAGTCACGTCATGAAACAGGGCCATGGGCATCTTTGACGGAGTGTGTATTTGTTTGTGGGTGACCCGGATGCCTACAATAAGGTACCTACACCCCCCTCAAACAGCTAGCGGTTAATTGTGGCGGTGTAGTGTAAGTTGGCAGCACCGACTGATCCGCAGTGTGGGTGAGCCCTCACACCCCTTCTTTCTTCTCTGCAGAACCTCCCATTTTCCACGACAAATTTCTCAGCCTGATTACTCCAAGATCTCTACTATCAAGCGTTGAGCTAGAGATCGTTATCGCTCAACACATCGCATGGGTGCCCTTGATATGAGGTTTAGGTGGCATATTGAAGCCCACGATCAGATCCAAGAAAGGGATGTTGGGAATCACAGAGCTCGCTGTCTTAGGACCATCGAAATTCATACCCAAACGACGCTCTCTACGACGGTCTCACGAGACCCAGGTCAGACAAATATCTCAGGTGACCAACCGTTTTATCATGGCGTCAAAAGGATGGATAAACCGAGTCTTTTCTCCACCGTTGCTTCAGGTGGCTCCCAAAGCACGGGACGACAGTGAGGACCAGACATTGCGTAGGACTTCAACAACATTCTGCGAGGATATTTACTGATGAAACAAAGACGAGGTACATCGTCGTCTCTCGGATACGATTCTTTCTGGCACGGTTGTCCCAGAGACACCGCCTAAGCAGTCATTCGCCGCGCAGTGTCTTCCAGAACAGTATTTGAAGAAGCCCAGCAACAGCGATGTCTATATGGCAGAAGGAATAGGCCGGCTTCAACTAGATACCTTGGATGAAAAGTCCTCGGAAATTCAAGAGCAAGAGCCATGTAAGTTCGAGTTTCTCAATTCTCTGTTCGTTTTCCAAATAAATGCATGGCTTTCTGAAGGATATCAAACAACAGCTAATTAACTACAAAAGCCGTGGCAGGTAACGAAAACACCACAAGTGATGTCGTCGTAATCACAGGAGACGACCATATCATGCCCGATGCGACCGATTCGACGGCCGTATTTCAAAATCGATCTGGACGCCATCAGCCCAGAACAACCCAAGTCAGTTCGAGAGGCCATGCTGCTTCCACGAGCGATCAACGGCAACCCTTGAGGTCCAATACAGAACCGTCGGGGATTACATACCAAGCTGAGAAGCGACCACCAAAGCGCCGAAACACCGAGCCGAATGGAGATGACCCGGATCACACGCGTAAAAAGAATAAAACGTCTTCAAACGATGCCCCATCGCGGTTTGCTTGCCCTTACTTCAAGCATGACAGGGTCAAGCACCTTGACTGTCTGCACTTTCAACTAAGCAGAGTCAAAGACGTGAAGCAACATATCTTCCGGAAACACCAGTTCCATTGCCCGAGGTGCTTCGAAATATTCCCGGACAACATGAAATGCGAAAAGCACATCATCAGCGGCAGAGAATGTCAACTCGGCGAGCACTCAGAGGAGATCGCAATTAGAGATAGTATATCAGAAGATCAGAAGAAGGAATTGTCATCGAGAGCAAATAGCGGAAGGGATGAAACTAAACAATGGTTCGCAGTATGGGATGTTCTTTTCAAGAAAGAAGAGCAACCAGACTCTCCACTTCTTGGCAGCGAGGTTGCCGAGATGATCGAAGTTGTTCGTGAACTTTGGGCAAAGAATGGCGCTGATATTCTTTCGCGACGCAATGCCAATTCGGCCATTGATTTCGGAATTGGAGCCATGACAGCTCCGTTGCCTCCGAGTTGCACCACGATATCCAACAATATGCCCCCGGCGAACATTGATGCAACTTCTGTTACGCATGCAAGTCAGACCATGGACTCACTTCTCACCGAGCTTGCGCACGTCAGTGCCCCCAGCCAAAGCACCTCGGCCAACCCGAACTGTCTACACAACGACGAGTCCAGCTGCCTCGGTCATAACTCTCGGACAGACGCTGTAATTACTGTCGATACGATTCAAGAAGATGACGCGGACATATTCGCGGAGCCACCATGGAATTTATTCCCGCAAGATCCCATGGTAACGGATGTTGAGGGTACTCGCCCGATAATGACTCCTTCCGCAGATATCTGGCCTATCCAGACACAAGGATTCGAAGACCACGATCTAGCACACACTTATTTCGAACCTACGGAACAGATTGCAATTGATCCCACATTGACAATAGGAGATCTGCCCCCAATCTTCTCGGAAGATTATCATCTTGTCACTCAGGTCGATCTGAGTTTCGCAGATGCAACTCAGTATGGAAATAGCTGAAGAATCTCAGCTCGATGCACAGCTGAAGATGATGCGTTGGCTGCTTGTGATCAACTAGATACTCGCTAGTCAGTGATCCGAGCTCTGGGTATTAATTTCATCTAACATGTCGGTACACGGGTGGACAACTGACAATTCGCGATTCGTTGAGAATAATAAGCTGCAGGAACTGTCACTCAAATGCCGAAACGGCACGTTGTTTGGATTGAGGAGGGAACGTAGCAGTGAATTACAATGCCCGGCAACATCTGGCTACATTAGCTTGATTAACTATCTGGACGTTGATAGAATGTTGCGATGGAACAAATCATCGGCCTGTACGGGGACAAGCAGAACACCCCCGAAAAACATCTCGCACATGTAATAACATTAACCATGGAGAGGAAAGCTGAAATTGTCTTGCCGCATTTTTTTTTTTTTTAAATCGATTTCCTTTTCCTTTTTTCTTTGTTTTCGTACTTCAATTCTCATCTGTTTGTTGTTTTGGGCCCTTTTATCATGTTAGTAGCGGTGCTCATGTTTAGAGAATCCGGAGGCTCTCAGTGAGACGAAGTCGCCGATAACATTCGTTTAATCACAAATAAAGCCGCCTATTAAGGCTATGGCACACGAAAGTTTCCGACATGAAACTGGTATACAGCTCACATCTCTGTTTTGAATTGGAAGAAACGGCGAAGTTTGATCGTTAGACATTTGCCCGATGGCCGAGTCACAGGCATTTGGACTAAGTATCTACCTTAGGTATAGATGTGTTGATTATGACTTAAAGCATGATATATCCATAGCTATAAACCCTCCGAGAAGTAAAGGTGTATTGCGGCTTCTTGCTGTTCTAAAGAGAGTTGATGACGAGGAAAGGAAATTACTGTGCTCAATACGTTCCGGCTACACTCTTGATCCCGCCACCTTAATGAAGCTCGAATTTGAAGTAGGCCCATTTTAAACCGACAAACACCGCTGACCCAACAAAAGGAAAAACGAGGACAGATTAACGATTCCAGTGAACATTTTACCACAAGCTGACGCCAATGACGACAACTGTCTCCTCCATAACGCGGAGAAGAAGTGAGTGGTTGGACTTGAACGTATGTGAGTAAACCTCTCATGAATCCTGGACCAAAGCTGTGATGGCTTCAGAAAGGACCCTAGAAGATAGGAGTTGAGCATCGTGCCACTCTGACGTGGCTTCCGTCGACATGGTTTGAGAAAGGGCCTTCTCAAGTACAGCCTGACCATGTCTATGCCAGAAGGCCCTGAACTTCGAAACCTTCAGCCCTGGGCCGCTTCGAAGATGTGAAGCTGGGGCTTTCAAATGCGGAAACAGAATTCGCCACGTCTGGTGCCATTGTGACTCTTCTGTAGGGATGTACCGAGTATTGGCGATGAACTTCCTGTGATCTTCGGAAATGCCCTCAAAAGGGAATTCGTCAAGAAATTCGCAGGTTCGACCAATGATATGTTGGTTGCGAGCAGATGCCAGACCGAATGCATTCTTGCATGTTGGGCAGTAGAATGGCAGACGGTGGTGTTGTAGAATATGCCGCCTCACATCATCCATACTTCTGAGCTCATGATGTTTGAGGCAATTGACATATCTATCGGGGTCCTTTGCGAAGAACGGGCAAGCAAATTCCTGGAGAATCGCCCGGGAATGAATCCCTATCGATGGGCGGCCTTGCTCATTCGATCGTTTGATGCGTCTCAGTCGCTTCTCAATAACGTGATTCTCGGTCTCCAGGAAGATTGAAAACCTGCGCAACATTGTTTGAGCGAGTCGTGCCTCGAGGAAGTCTCCAGGTATACGAATATTGTCGAGCGTTTCTTTTTTGGGAACTCCACTGTCGAACTTGTCGAAGAAGTCGCATTGATGGACATCAAGTCGTGCTTCCACCTGAGCAGGGGAATTCGCTACTGTCGTTGGCTGGGAGTCGACAGACGCCACGGATACTGATGAATCCCAGTCGTCACCAAGCTGTGTTTGCTTCGATGCCTCCAAAGAACCGTAGTCGTCATCAGAGAAACTGCCATCGTCGTATTCATAAACTTTACTGACTTCCACCCAGGTAGGCTCTTCTGCGGCCTTGATTCTTGGGCTAGGCGGATTTGCGGTTAAGGCTGAAATGCAGGTAGATACCGCCTCAGACTCAGATGTCGGCGATCTGTTGACAGTAAGAAGCGACGTATCTTGAGGAGACGATACCACATGGAATTCCTCTTCCGTCGAATTGGAATCTGGGTCGAAAAGGGTATCCGTGCTTTTGGTGGCTTCGAACCGGCTCCCGGAGATAATAATTCTCATCGTTGTTGATTTTCCTTCCGTAGGTAGCCCTGGAAGTGTGTTTGGCATGATGCGTTCATAAATATCATCGGCTTTCTTTCGAAAGAGAATCCCGCGATGCTCATTAGTGTCATCGTCGTGGAGCTGTAGACCGAGATCAAGGAAAACGGATTCGCCGTGCTTGGTAACCTGGCCCTCAACGAGCACACCTTTGCTAGTCAACGCTGCAAAACCACGGAAGACTCCAGGAAAACGAGCCGCAGGTGACTCGCTGAAGTTATCAAATTCTACAGGAGATTCTGCGAAGATCCCTCGACTGTTCTCATTCCCGTGGCTGGTCCAGGCAAACAGTGATGCGTCGTTGGAGTATTTGAGGATTTCCTCCTGAAGACGAAGGAAGGAACGGCGTGCCCCTTCTCCATACACAGCGGGCATGCGAACATCGAAGACTCCTAATAGGGAATATGCGACATCCTCAGATCTGGTCCCCTTACGACGGGATGCCCATGTCATCCTGTGCGCGACGGCTGTCTTGCACAAGCTCCGCTGTTGAGTTAGGATGTCCTGGTCGATGCCAGTGGTCATGGAGATCAACGCCGGCAGCGGTGCCGTCGCCCGCTCACCTCTGAGATGCCACTGAGCATCGTAAAATTGGACTCTGACCGGTAGAAGAAGCTCCTGGAGTGTCCAAGCCCGATTCCAGAATTGGCAGTGAGCCCAGGTATCCTTCCAAGGCAGGGATGGCCCGCACCGGAGGTCGGCCAGGAACGTGATGCAAACGCCAGCTCTCCTCAAGTACCCGGGTAGTGAATTGATGTTCTCCGAGACGTCAGCGCTAGAAGCTTTGTCAATGCAGGCGGCATCGATCCAGACGTATTCATAATTCTGAGTTTGCGCAATGTGGCAAAACCTTTCAATGATGACGTGGATTGCGGATTTGTCGGTCCTGATAAGAGCGTTGGTGTTGTCGTTGTTGTCGTACTTGGTCCACTCGTCATCGGCTGGCGATGACCACGTATGAGAAAGAATGGCGTAAGGCACAGGTGGAGGGAAGTTGAAGACATGCAATTGACCAGTATTGATATGAAGAAGCTTCATTCTCAGTAGTTCTGTTATGACGAAGCCAAAGAAAATGGAATAATATCCACGTTAACGAGGGTGGTAGGGCACTTACGTGATGGGATACGCGGCAAGAAACATGGGTTTTTGTATGTTAAATACACGAATGCATTTGAGCTCTGGCCAATGAGAAGGCGAGCACACATGTGGCGGGAACGTGCAGATTGTGTCGGCTGGACAGGGAATGATCTGACGCCACGGTGATAGGGCAGATCATCCTAGCGTATGCCCTCGTCTCTAATAGCGGCCTTGCGCAGGATTTATCATGAGACGGCATCACCAGTCGCCGATGCAAGGCAGTGGGATGCTTCTTCGTCAGTTTTGCGCAAGCTTTGGTCGCAATTGACTCACGATTGCTGCAAAAAGTCCGGAGAGCCCGTTTGCAGCCTGCTGAAGAAGGTGAGTCGGGGGTCAGCGGCCCCCGAAAAGGAAGAGGCGGGCTCACACCGAGTTGCCGATGACAAACGGTGTGAGGCGAAGCTACCGCTGACATGGCCGAATTGGAGGCAGCATTTCTGCCTAAAACTCTTTCTCAGCATACTCAGGTAAAAGTCAGGAGCTTTGGCCAGAATAATCCGGATAGCCTTTGTTGACTACAATCATCAACCATTGTGCCATGGTTCACAACATGAACAACTGCATCAGCTTTGTTTCATGGGTAATAAGACCTCTCGAAGAAGATCAAGTCCTCAACTAATCTCATTTTCAAATGCAAATCGTGTTCCCATATGCTTTCCTATAGCAAAGGTACACGAAACATGCGTATTGGTTATACTATGAAGGCTTTATCTGTGCTGGCTGCCATCTAATGTAGCTCTTGTGGCCTTCACAAGTACCATCCCAAGGAGGTTTGCCTTCATCCGCGACCCCATTTACAGTCAACGTTCGTTCGGAATAGAACGGTTGTATGAAAACAAGAGTGAGTGAAAACTGCCAATGAGTAAAAGATATTCCGGCGAGTACACAGGAAGAGGGTGCACATATCGCAAGGCAATGTCATCCAAGTATCGCTGCTCAGCATTGGAAAACTTGACGTGCCGAAAGATCCCAGATAAGGCATTCGAATTTCCGGTGCAACAGACGAAACGTCGGGAAAACGTTCACGATCATCGTCCCAAGACAAAACATATGTCATCTCTGAGACTGAACTTTTGGCTCGAGTCCGATTAAATTTCTAGGATGATGCACCTGGCAGAGGTCAATTTGACAGCCATAAATGTAATGGCGCCGTTCATGCAGCAGGAGCTTTATCCAAATTGTTCCCTGGTTGGCAGAGAGATGGTGACCGACAACCTCAGTTCATTGGATATGGGTGAGGTAGTGTGGTGTTCCATACTTATGCATGCATGACGGTCTGGTCAGCCAGCACAACTGCGCCGAAGGCTGCCAAGGTCGCTTAGTGTGTCGGGTGTCATGTACACGTTCCCAACCCCGACGCGCAAATGCGCGCAATCCAAGTTTTGACGGACTTTCAAAAGGTCCCTTGACGGAGAATTTACTACGTTAGTAATTGCGCTAACCATTTCCACTCGCTTGCAGAACTGCCACGGACTGGTATTTACGGCACCAAGTCCGCACACCAATAGCCTGGGATCAGGAACATCTGGTCCTTGGAAATTGGGCACAGAGAACTGGAATTGAAGCAACATCGGATGCTCAAACAAATCGATCTGGGCGAAATATACTTCTGCCTGGATCTATAATGAACGAGCAAACGCCAGCATCTCAATGTTGTGGTGAGGCCGTGTGAGCCGTTTGATTTCAGTCGTGGACTTCATGTTATCGCACAAGATTAATGACACTTGGCGTTCCTGAACAGACCAATTCAAGCTTTCCGCCCCATCACTCATTTCAACAGGAGGCCATCTCCAGAACCCAGCTCCACAAACTCATAATCAGGAGCTTTATCACCTAGCCGCTTTCCCTCGGCTTCCACGGCTTCTTTCAGCGTGTATCGCGTCCTCACGAGAAGGGGAGCAATAAGCCCGCCGCCCGTCTTGACTTCGTCGTGCGTCGCTATCCAATATTTTGCCCCAGTTTCTCCGACAGCTTTGATGCCATTCAATGCTCCCAGATTTAGTTGTTTCGTCATCCAAATGCGTACATCGTGAAGACCGTGAAGTAGAGCTAGCGTCGAGAATCCTGACTCACGAATAGACGTCAAGTCCGAGGCTTGGATGCCATGGGGTGAGTAGAGGATTGTTTCTGGCTTGCCAAGGTCGAAGGCAATCATGACGGCCGAGTGGTAATAGAGTGCGTTGCCTGCGGTAACGACGCGGCCGATACCCAGCCAAGGTGGCAAACCAGCGACGCTGAGAGTTTCCCTCCAGTCCTCGGTTGATGAAGAAAATGCTGGGGTTGTTGTAACTGAATCAAAATGATTCCACGACCGGATCAGATCCGCCGCTTTGTCGGTTGCAAATACCGGTGTAGATTTGGGTAGCTCCTCTAGTGTCGCTTGATGGCAGTGGTCCGTAAATTCGTGGGAAATGGCGACTACATCGATGTAAGATTTCTCGGCATCATCTGATCCATCAGACTCGTTTTCGAGCCTGGCAAGTAATGAGTTCAGCTCGGCCATGGTCTTGACACTGGGCTCGACGAGATGCCATTGTGTCGAAAACCAAGACGCCACATCGGACTGAGGACCCTGCAGCCAAGGGTCGAGAAGTACGTTGAAGCGCTTCCGTCCGTCGGGGGCTGATTCGGGGTCAGGATATGGGAGTTGAATGAGCCATGTGGTATCGGCGTTGAGGTGGATGAGGATGGGCCGATCGGTCTTGTGGGCCTCAGCCCAGGCCGCTCGATCGCTGACCTTCAGTGTTTGAGGTGTTGACGATGAGCGGTTGTCAATAGCCATGATTGTTGCTTTCTTGTTATTTTGCTTCCACTCACTCGATGACTTCCACGACCAGCAATCTGTTATGCTGCGTAGATGTTCATAGACTAGAAGGAGCGAATGAGGTCGATCTCGGACGGAGGGGTCCGAAAGTCTGTGACGTCGTCCAAACTCGCGTATCCGCGGCACGGCCGCCCGTCGCATCCTGGCCCTTGCCACCCACCGTCTTCAACTCTAGATGCGGGGTTAGCGTAAGGTGGTCATGACCATCGTCCTCAGACCTCCAAAGCAGCATCGATGAAAGAGAGAAACAAATTATACGCCGACGTTAACTACTAAACGGTGCTAAGGTAGCCGTAAATTTACATGATTTTCTTCGCCTACTGGACGGACGGTGACGCTGACAAACGAGATCCTTGATAGCCCCGAATACTACACTAAAGTCGCAGACGCTTTACACCGGAAGAAGATAAGGAAAAGGTAAGCATTCTGACGTCTGGTAGAAGATAGTTGCATACTTGTTAACTTCCATTGCGATTACGCCAAAGTCTTTGTCGAGTTTAAATCTGCGAATAACCTCACTTGAGAATTTCAGATGGATGATTGATGCATTTTCCGATGTGGCGCACATATCGCAAAACCTGGCCAACGGATTTGTCTGCTGTTTGGGCTACTAGACAGCGCATGTTAGCAATGCGCCTTGTGCCTGTGGCGTTCGATACGGCGCACTGCAAGGTTCTTTGGGTGCCAATCGGGAAGATCAGAAATTGTGCATCATTTCCTCGGGGGACTGTGGCTTGGTGGCTAAGCTGACTACTTACCCAATTTCAATATCCAATCATTTGAAGAAGAGTTGTAAATTGTAGCATTGCCTTAATTCGTCCTGCCTAGGCGGTCTCAGATGCCGAGAACTTGTGCCATGAGTGAGACAAAAACAGTTGGCGTACGTAGTCACATCATGCACCCGTCCACCATGCAGTTCGGATTTGAGACCGAGAAGATCGCCCAATCCTTTCCCCAATGAAGCAAAAGTTGAACATATCCTCTTCCTATAGAAATAGCCTTTTGTTCGCACTTTCAATCAATACCAGATTGGAAAGTTTGTCCATTCTATAATTCTGTTATCAAAGCTTTGTTAAAAGTCTTACAAAAACGCACGATGCAGCCGCATGCTACCCTTATTCTCATCGCTGTTCAAGCAGCTGCAGCTGCAGACCAGTTTTGGACTGGGAGGGAAATTGATATGGGGCCATTCGGGAGTGACCCGTTCTTCAACAACAACCAGTCAGATGAGATCTACCGGGAAGCCATTACCAACCCGAAAGCTATGCGGTCCGTCAAATTTGTCCCGTTCTCGGGTCTAATAAGCCCCAAGGTCTACGGAAGGGACCCTTACTGGACTTGGAGTAAGTGGCAATGAGAGTTGAATACAAAGATAGGACTGAAAAAGTCAATAGGAGTTAATGTGACGGAATTCGCCTTTCCCCCGGGAATCAACGTTACTGATGCCGTGACTGGGGCCGAGCAGCCCGTCGAAAACCCTTCCTACGTCAGCACAACCTGGGACTTTGCGTGGTCCAGTGGTGGGAATATCTCACAGGCCTTGGGCAACTCAACAGGACCGCTTTGCGTGTCGATCTTGGACATCGTGGCGTACCCAGCAAATGTCACCAACCTTTACACGGATGAAAATACCAACAGCACTGACTGCACGCCAATTTTGGGAGAAGCCTGCGTACGGGCCATTCTCACAGAAGGCAGCAACTTCAGCAGAGGAACAACATGCAACGAACCGAAGAAGTTGTGGGGCACGCTTCCCGAGTGCAATAATACTATCGGATACGCCGTGGAGAAACGCCTAGACTCTAAACTGTTCAACGGCACTTTTGGCGGTGGCGTCGCAACAGCAAACCTCAACCCCGATCCGTCCAACTCGCCAAACGCCAGTTCGTCAGCTGAACTCAACAAAACCTTTGGCATAACTAGCGGGAAGGGATTCATGGGCCTTCATAGCGGAGTGATCCCTGGAGCTAATGCCACGGATATATACTTGGCCGCCGCGAATTCTCTTCAACTCCTCATGATCAGTCATGGATTTGGAAACAGAAGTCTTGGAGAAACTCAGCTTCATTGTATGAGGGCGAACACTACCCAGCTGCCAGTGGACGAGAACGAAAATGGAGGGGGGCAAGAGAATGACGCTACGCGTATGCAGTATCACGTAGCTTGGACCTTGATCATTGTGGTATTGACTGTGCTGCTGGCAAGGTCTACTTGAGGCTGTCTTTTGGTTATATTACCTTCTCACCTGGTGGGATGGAAGCCTTATCTGTCAGCAGTTCGTGGTTCTGATGATGTCTGAGGTCACCATTTATTCGAACCGCGCACAGCCTGGTACTAGCAAGGCCTTGTTTAATAGTAATCTTAGTGAAACTTTATTCTAGTTTCTCCTATTTTGCTAAGCGCTGTCATTCCCCTGCTTTGGTGTATTTGTGTACAGTTCAAAGGACGCAGTCGACTATGCTTCTAAGCGGTTCTTCATCTCTTGGAACTGCTGACCCGAAGCGAAACCCCGCATCACATCTGCAACATCTTTCCAGTTCTTTTCCAGTTCTTCAGAGGACCGCGCTTCTTCGATAACGATGTTGTTGATGCAGAACTCAATCCAAAGAGAGCGGCTCGGGCTTCTCTGGCCGGCATACTCCCCAACAGCATCCAAGGCCTCGAGAACATCCTTTTGCAGGTCATTCACGTACTTGTTCACCTGGAAGACGATGTCTCCGATGGTCACGCCAGCATCCGAGGTTGCCCGGATAATCAGTGATTCTGGGGGTCGATACGGCATCCGATCGCAGCATTCGCATGGCACCTCAGTGTCATCTTCCGGGCGATCTACTGTGTGAAGGTCTTCCCATGCATCGCGACTGCCATAATGGTCGAGAATGTCGATTGAAGCTTTCAACGAGGATATGGGAGGATCGGTGTACAACTCGATGGCAATAGGGTGTAGCGAGGAAGTATCCTCTCCAGGCCGGGTTTGGTATGGGTCCTGTTCAGAGTCCGCATTTGTTGGGTCGCGGAGCACTTTGATCTCATAGAGCGAAGCAAAGGCAGGCCATCGGAACCGGTTGAACCCCAAGTTTAGAGAAATTGGTTGAGGGTTTCGGCGCTCGATGAACGTCTCCAGCGGGGGTAAGGACGGTGCAACCGACGATGTGGGCTCGATAGATGGGTCTTGCATTATGGCAATGTAGGAACGAGTTCACGGCAAGCCACAAGACACCGATGGCAAAGGGAGGATGAAAATTTCGCTGCGAGGCCTCCGAAAAATTCGTTCCTTTGATTTAGGCAGTGATTGCTTGGCAACACTTACCCCGGTCCGGCCCTTGCGATGGCCTATGCCACCAACAGTCTCATGGGTGTGTCTCTGCCTGCCTACCTGAGCTCCCCCCAAAAATGAAGTTTTGCCAACGGAGCGACTGCGCTGCATGCAGAGTAGAGTCTATGAACAGAACTGGTGTCATCTTCAGATGATCCAAAGCTGGCTTCCATTTCCCTGCTAACAAGCCTCCGCGTGAAGAATAAAACTAAGCATATCGCAACCTTTCCTCTCCCCATGTCGGCTGCAAATCTTTAGAGTCGAAGTGAGTGTCCAAGGAGCTGGCCCGGGCCTCTGTGATATTCCAATCGATTCCAACGCTTGCTCCGTTCGAAGATTGCGCCCAGACAAGGACCCCAATCACATTATCTCCGTTGAAGTTTAGGATGCCGGGGTGGACGGGGAATCTGGTGGCTGAGTTGACGTACGGTGAGAAGCGGCCATATTGGTATCCATTGACGAACAACAAGGCTCGTGTCGTGCTGTTGCCTCCAGGAGTGCTCAACTCGAATTGAACCGAAAGATCAACACCGGCAGGTATGCTCAAAGGTACAGTCGTACGGTAGAAACGGACTGTGGCGTTGTCGAAACCTTCCGATGGTGACGCCGTCGGCCAATTCGAGTCATCGAAGCCTGGAAGATGCCAGCCAAGCCGTTCAGCAGTCCACCCGCCCTCGTTGTAAGCTCCGCGGACGGGATCAAGAATCTTGCCTTCTGAACGACCGGCAGTTCCAGTCAGCTTCCAAGAGTCGAAGCCCTCAGAGCCAACCAGCGTTGCGTTGAGGATCCCTCTGATTGACAAGGCCCCTCCGGCTCCTTGGTCATGGCCGGAGTTGTCTTGTATTACGGTAAGCACATTGGTTGTGTTTTGCGACAACGTGTCTACTGGGAAGTCTAGAAGTAGTTTTCCGGAGGCCACCTTGGTTCCTGGGCTGCCTGGGAATGCCTCCAAAAACCGGCCGTTCAAGTACACTGAAAATCCGAAGGCTTGACCACCGTAAAGGGTAAGAGACACTCCATCTGCAAGACCAGTAAATCTGCCGCGATAAATGAAGGAACCAGTATGGAATCCATAATCATCAGCGTAGAGGTACGGAATGGTAGCGTCGTTCTTTGAGTTCTTCGTGGTTTGATGATCAGCATTGACCCAGGCTACCCCGTCATCGGAATAGTCGATAAGGACTTCTGGCAGAGAATCTTGAACTTTCCAGGGCCCCAGGCTCGGCAGCTCTATCTTCGGTGGTCCCGGAATTCTCCCAATGAGACTACCGTGTGGTGTTGGTTTCGTGTCGACTGACTTGCCGTTCCAAGTAACTTTCTTGACGTTGGAAGGTGCAAACACCTCAAGCTGAGCATCTTCAAGTGTGTCTCCGGTGATCGCGATCACATCTGAGCTGATTTGTGCTTCGCGGACGAGAGAAGGACCGTGTACCAGGACTTTTGGAGTTAGTCAAGTTTGGGTACGAATGTTCCAAGGGAAGAACCTTACCAGTCTGATTGACCGGAGTCAAAGGATCGTTTGTCAGAGTCGGGGCGAACATCGCATAGGCACCAGATCGATCAACCATGATGACCCTTGTGTCTCCAACGAAGGCGACACTAAGTCCATGGCCTTGAGTGAACTTCAGTATGCTGCCGTGCTCAGTGACGTTTACCTGGACATCACTACAACCGTCACAAGTCTGCAACTTCCCCTGGTGAGAACCAGTAAAGCAAACCTCCCCTGACTCATCGGGGTGGACCCAAAGCACCAGCGTCGGCTTTTTGTCCATCACGGCGTACGTGAATACTTCAACTGTGGAGTAGAGTAGCTTGTCGTGACCAATTGGAAAATCTGACACCAGAATCTTGGCAACATGGCCCTTCAGAGACGTTGCCGGCGCGATCTGTGGTACAGTGAGAGGGCCAGCCGAAGTGTTGACGTGAAGCTGGAAGGTGACAGACTCATCGCTTTTCGAGTCCGTGTGTCGAACAACGTAGAATCTTGCATTTGTGTCCGGGTTGCGAAGCTCAGTTGCAGAGACGGATGGGTTCGTTGTGTAGTTGCTGCCGCTACCGATGCGGTCTGTCTTGGCCAGGTCCTGAGCAACTCTTGTGAAAAGCGCTAGGTTCTTGATCTCGTAGAAGCTGTCCCTGAGAGACCGATCCTCAGCGATGGGTGCAGAGTAGTCATAGCTGGTGCCGAGGAACGGGACGCCAAGCCAGCCCCAACTTGTGCCTCCATAGGTCATGTAGAGGATGAAAGCCGTCATTCGCTGATCAATATTGTGGCGGTAGTAGAGGTTGCGAAAATCGGCACCGACTGTGTCTGCGCAGCCATCCGGATATCCAGCAATCGGGACCACTTTCCCGCCCTGGAATTCTGGGCTGAACATTGGATTGCTTGGTGAAGACCTTTGGAAGTCTGGTTGGTAGTCTAGAAGAACCCAGTCTCCGGAGCTGCCGGAGCTACATTGATCTGGGTTGCAGCTCCAGCAAAGGGGCTGTCGGCGATGTTAGTACTTTTGTTCTTAAAAGATTTGCGCTGACTTGTGACTTACATAGGAATCGTAACCATGCACGTCGACGTTTCCGCCCGCACCAACTGTATCGTAGTCCGAAGCCCATGAAATGTATCCAGATATATCATTGTGAGTAAGAGGAATCTCGACGCCGTTGTTGACTGCGACCGCCTTGAGATCTTCCATATAGTCAACAGAATTGTAGTTCGGAATCTTCTCGTTCTGATTTGACCACTGCTGGGGGTACTCATTCTCGATCTGAAAGTTGATGACAGTTCCGTTCTTGTGAATCTGGTACGGGGCGGCCAACTCGGCTACAGATGACATGTAGCCGTTCCACGCATCGGTGTAGCTCGTGCCGTTCGATCGAAGTTTTCCGTAAGCACCGGTCGTAATCCACAGTGGAAAACCTCCAGCATTGAGCTCGCCGTTGATGTATGGACCAGGCCGAGGCGTGACGAAGATGCCGTGCTTCTTGGAGTACTCCAGAAGAAGTTCGAGATTATGAGCACCACTGGAGAAGTCCAACTCCCCGTCCAGTGGCTCATGATAGCCCCAGTGTGAGTAGAACGACATTGAGTTCATGCCCATGGCCTTCATCTTCTCGATGACGTCTTCCCATAGTTGTGGCACGGGGATTCGAAAGGGGTGCATCTCACCGCCGAAGAGAAACTTCCGCTGTCCGTTGATGATGAAGCTGTAGTGATCCCATTGTACGGCATCGGTGTAGGGAGTTTGCTTGATCGGCCAGGTATCGTTGTCGGCTGCCTGGGAGCCCCCGAATAAGGAGAGCAAGCCCAACGCGAATATTGACAAATGCATTGTAATCAGGCTCGGAAGAATGATTTCGGATGACAACCGGGGATCATGAAGGCTCGACGGAGCGTGATTAGAAGATAAGCCGTTTATGGGGACTAATATCTAGCTTCCGTCTTTCTGCTATGGGCATCCTAAATTTGATGCTACTCGGGTTATCATTACCGCGTCTCTACAGTCTACATATTTTCCGCGAAGTAACCTGTCATGTATGCGAATCAAGATCTAGTTTGTGTTCGTACTGAGTGATCGTTGTCTTTACATTGCTTAGACGCCACCATTGGATAGCTCTCGTGCGGAGAGATCCTTCACTACAACCTTCTGT